ACAGGACAATAATAGACATGAGATTTTACAAAGATCAGTTCACTGATGGGATTGATAGCCAAATGTATAATATTAACAGCATTCAATGAACTATGAAGCTTGCAAAGCACTGACTCGAGCAGTCAGTTCTATAACTTGATTCCACAAACACTCAGGATTGCAGAAGTCGACAAATACCCGCCTCTTGTGAATGATGTTTTACGATCTGCATTCCAGAAGCATTTTGGATGAGTTTGCGTACACAAATACATGGCGATCATAAATGTTAGGGTCACGGATTGATGACTAAGGAAAGACATCAATAGCAAATAGCAACGACAATAGTATCAACTTTATGTTGCCAAGCAACCAATTTGCAAACAAATAAGTACAAATTATAACCCCAATCAATGATTGAACATCTTAGAACTTAAAAAGCGATTCAGAACAAGAAACAAACAAGAATGGGTGAGAATTACCTCACACTTCTTGCAATGATCAAGCGTTACTTCTTCAACTGCAGCGGATAGTTTTGCATTGATCTTTTCCAATTCATCCAGCTCTTTCATTAATAGCTATAAGGAACTTACTCTTTCAGAATCAGAAACATGAAATTTGAAACAAGAAGCCCAAAATATGTCTCAGGGTCGATTAGATGAAAAGGGAGAACATAATAAAAAGACTAAACAGGATGTGAAAGAGGATGTTGGAAAAGAGTAAAGAAAAAACAAAAAATGCATTGGAAAAAGATGAAATGCATACCCAAGGTGTCAGTATTGGTTGACCAGTTGTTGATGACAAAAAAACTAGTTGCTGCAAACTTTGAATAAGAGTGCACCTAGCATATAAGCAAACACAAAATAAGTGCTCACTGTAAATTCTAAGTTTCATACAATATCAGGATTTGATCTGCAACTCAGAAAATGAGAAGTTCCTGATTATCATTTTCTGTAGTAGGCATGATTTTCATGTTACCACAACCTCATCATTGGTCTCACAGAACGGCAAAATTATATAGTTACAAAAACACATCCTGTTGCTGATATCTGGGATGTCTGGTAAATACACTACTTGCAGAGAATAAATTATTTGTTTTGTGGAATGAAGGATAACTCACAGCTCATTGATACATCTATTTCTGTCCTCAGGAAAGGCATTCTCTAGGTCGGACTAAAGGGTCATCAAGTCTGACTGAAAGCAAGACATCTGTTGAAAAGTGCCTTGTGCCGATTGATACCTATGTTGACAAACCAGCTTGAGCATCTACCAGAATTAAAAGAAGAGCAAGCAACTTTTTATTTTTTCTTCAAGATAGAAGATGAAGAAGAAGAATAATAATATGATTGATTAAGGAGAAGTCAACATGACAGTACCAGCAGCTCCTATGACACGGTAGAGTCTCAGACTGGGGCACATTGAAGAAAATGTACTGTCATTACTTGCATGAATACTCAAGAGGTATCTAAAAGTATCCAATGCTCCTTGTTCTTGTACATCAATGCTAGGCAACGACCCTATAAAAATTACAAGACAGAAAAATAAAGATAATAACAATTAAAGTAAAAACAAAAATGATAAAAAATTACTAGGGAAATTCAACTAAATGATCAGATTTTTCTATAATTAAAAGCTCAATGAGTGGTTTCCGAGAACCTTAATAAAGTGCCCACATACCACTCGGCCTTTGGTTGCTGACAGAAATCCCTGCAGCTACTCAATAACTTTAAGCAATGAATAAACTCCAAGCATGGTCTTCTTTTCCAACTGACAAGCTATCTTTAAAAACAGATGCCTTGCAAGCTGATTAACCAGATGATTTATGAACTGCAATAACACAAGTAATTAGAACTTGGAAGAAGATGTGAACTACCACCGTATACCACAATAGCATTGGTGCAGCAAAATGGAACTCACTCCACAACCTAGCAATGCCAACATTAGTTTGGTTTTAACAACATATAGTCCTTTGTGAACATGGCTGTTTCACACATTAAAAAAAAAAAAAAAACTATATGCACAGGGTCAAAATATATTAACAAAGAAAAATAATGGCTAAAACCAATCATGTCTAAAGTACTTGATCTAACTTGTAAAATTCAGATTTGGATGCCATGATCAAACCACTCAAACCAGTAAGGTGTCAAGCAACTAATTAAGGCAATATTAGATTAACAGACCAAGAATCTGGTTTCCAACCTATTGCTAAGAATTACAAAAGTTCCATCTCCAAAAATAGACCATACTCACCTTTCTTGTGAGTAGGCTTTTATTATCATCAACATCTCTCAACAAGAAAACTTTTAATAGAAATGTGCTAAAAATTACATTATCATGTAGCTAAACACACCTCTTTTTGCCGATTAATATATAGTATTCTTGGCAGATGACCTTCAAATCATAATCACCTGCATACTCGAGAATAAAATTTACATATATAAAAAAGAAAAAGAGAAACAAAGATCAAGTTTTTAGCTTTACAAGCCAAAACCATTATTTCCAATACCTTGCAGAATGTATGTGTCTTGAAGCTGAGCCAGCTCCCAACAAAGATCAGGAATAGTCTGGGAAAATAAAAGGCACACACTCACAATTAGAATTTATACAAATTATCCTCACCCAAAAGCCTGCAAAGACTAGGTAAAAAAAATTATAATTACAGAAATCAGGGCTTTTTAGAACAAGTATCAAATTTGTGTTATAGTTATTCGTACACCAAAACAACATATAGTTAATAGTCAAAAGATGTCAATGACCATTCCTGAAGATACAAAAAAACATATAAAGGAAGATTCACAATTTATTGCTCAAGAGTACCAGCAACTGAAATGTAATCTGACCATGTGCAAACATCAACAAAGTGACTAAGTTACCAAGGAATTATAGTGGAAATTCCCATTAAAGATGCCAATAGCAAACATCATGTTTATAATATGGAATAAGTTTATTAACTTAGAAAGAACAAGTATTGATTCTATGCGCCTAACCAATTTATGCTTTAACTTGGAATTAAAAATAAAAACTGATAGCCAACAACAGAATCAACATCCAAGACACATCACTGCAGAGAAAGAATCAAGCATTCATATGTTGCTGATAAGCATGTAATATATTGAAAGCACATCACAAATAAGAAATTAATGGCTACAACCACTAAAGAATGGAGTCATTTAAGCATGAGGAACAACTCATAGAGACTTTAGGTTATAACAAGCAGATCGTAGAAATCAGATACTTGCTGAAGGTTCATACCTCAGATAACAAATTCACTTCTTTGTGATAAAGATTTGAAAGTTCTCCCACAAGTTCAACATGCTTTCTCCTATTCATTAGACAATCAAAAATTTAAACATAATTGCACTAGTAGTTTGTTAATTACCAAAGAAGTTACTGTTCTATTAAAAAGAATTTTATGGTAAATTACATATACAAGTTCTTCCGTAATATATATTAGAGTCATCAGAGCATTAACTTGATCATATAATACATATACATGTTTTGTTTTGTTATCAAGGCATTATACCAAGTTCACGTTATCCATTTGAGAGGCTAGCTTTTTCTTAGGGCTGCTTCTAAAAAAATATACTTCCTCTGTCCCAAAATAATAGTCCCTTTTGGAAAATCTAACTTTTTTTGATAGTACAATTATTGCACTTTGAAAAAATTTATTTTCTAAAATTACGCTTTGATAGTACCTTTTTTGGGAAATATCAATTGTTATGATTGTACTTTTTGGGTTGTTAATAAATTTAAAAGAAGGTCAAAATAGGAAATTCATATTATTTTAATCCTTGGTTTTTGAAAAAGGGACTAATATTTTGGCACAATGAAAAATGGAATAAGGGAATACTATTTTGGGACGGAGGGAGTAAGATTTACTAAAAGAGAGAATAATTTCTTGGGCTTGAAATGGCTAGCCCATGATTCAGCCTCATGACGAAACAATGAAATGTAAGGTTTCAACTTCACTGTTTACTTTGAAAGGAACATTTTAACCTTTAGCATACTAGTCTCACACTCACTATTGCAAACAGTTAACAACATACCATAGAAACAAAGCACTTCCAAAATACAAAAAAATGTTCATAGATCAAACACTGTATGAAAAGGCCAAAGCTGTTTCATGCCAAAACTGAGTTTTTAATAACAACAAACTTTAGAAACCTCATTATCAAGCATGTATAAGCATGGTATTATCATGCCTAATGCATCACACTAACCCAATCACACTATGATCCACGTCTGTTTTAGTATAAAAGTGAACTCTATAGTTGGTATGGTAGGCAATATTGGTGTGGCAGTAGATTATGTCAGTTCTTAAAAATGATGTCACTTGGCAATATAATTGAGAGCTTGATATTTGTACTGTTGATCAAGGACACAAGATAATATATAGGAAATAAGTGCTTTCAAGTAAAAATACAATAAAGTGAAGAGCATGTAGAGGTTGCAAGCGTTCCACCTCTCGAGCATCGTTCTGACCTTTTGAGCTTCACCTAACCAATTACCTTTAGATAAATTAGAAACGTTTTTACTCCACAGATCTATGCAGTATATTGAAAATTACTTTCTGCTCACAGCCACCTCAAATCACATCCATATGAATTTTGCATGAAGAGCTCCACAAGCCATTGAATGCAATGGCAACTTTTTCATGCATATCATTTCAGCTCAAGTAATACATCTTGCTAACAGGATTGAGAAGGAGCTCAACGAACAACTAGAAATCTAAGTTCAAGAATAACAAATAAAATAGAGATCTTCTACCTAAGAAAATGAAGATCAAGATGTATGTGAGCTTCATCTGACGTTACTTGAGCCTTAAGTGCCATGAGAATAGCTTCCTGCTTAACTTGAGCTTCTACCGTCTTTCACTCCTTCCAAATCTGTCACAGTATTGAACAAGTATAAAGTTTTTTTATTTATTTATTTATTTTTATTTTATTTTATTTTATTTTTTAAAATATTGGACAGCTAAACATTCAGCACAAAGTCATAAAAGAAGGACGTTAAAAAATGTAGGTCTTGTTTAACAAACAACTTCTAACAAAAAAAATTATTGAACCTGATTGCATAATATGCTGAAGAACTTGCATATTAGATGTTCTCGTGACAATGTTTCAGAAGTAGGATCAATCTAACACATCTGATTGTCATGTGTATAACAATGACTCATGAGACAGAGAGAGGAGGCGGAGGTCTCTCACAATTTAATTAATAACAGAAAAATCACAACAGAACAAGATATTCAAATTATATCACCCCACAGCAAAAACATCCACAATAATCAAAATGTGACGAATAGAATATTAGAGACTGTCATAAAAGGACTTATCAAATTCATCATATTCATTTTTTTCTTTATAGAAGATAAACTGCAGAAAGAGAGGGCAGAAGTAGGATAAATATTAAAAGGGAAAAAAAATAATGGAAAAAAAAAAGTTGGGTTGATGACAGAAGATTGTCACATCTCACAGCACATACCAAACAAAACCTCTTTAGAGAACCAGATCATAGTTACCATTGACCTTGGCCAATATTTTTTTCTTCTGCAGATTAATACCACCTACACATCTCTTTCCAAACTAAAACTTGAAAAAGCCATCTTCAACTAGATTATAATGTCCTTCAAAATTCCATAACATTGAAACCAAACACTTACGATGCAAAGAACCAAAAACTTCAAAAAGCTGCATAAGTAAAATTACATACAAAGAGCGAAGCCGTTGCAATTCATATATACATTGATGACGTGACGTCTCTAAATCTGCTGCATCAGCAAAGGGAGAATGATAAGTAAAAAAATTCCTCTTTTTTTTTTTTTTTTGATAAGTAGACTTGATAATACATGCGCTATACAAATCAAAATTGTCTGGACATGTATACGTGGGTTGGTTTGTGTCAATGCCTACAAATTGACAATAGGATTTCTCAAAGTGTGCCAAGCTGCAGAAACAAATATAACCAAATGAAAATATGTTTTTTGTATACTTATTTGGATTAAACTACCTACCCATTGCAGAAGTAAAAAGAGGCGGTGGTTGTGTACAAGAGCAAAGTGGGTGTTTGAAAAATATTTTTGGTTAAAGTTAACAATTTCTGTTAGTCAACAAATAGTTGACTCATGGATGGGTGGGATTGATAGGTTAAAATCACAAGTGAAGGAGGTCAGTGATATTTCAATGAATAGAGAAGTGACAGTGATTTCAAAAGAATTCAAGTGGTGTCAATGTAGTTTACCCATATATCAAATAGATAAAAAGAACTACAGCGGAACATCAAATGGTAAGTATATAAGCATTATAAAATACAAAGAGTTCTTAACATCAACCAAGAGATGGTCGCTGACATGAGAGCATAACATCATTATAGAAAGACTACAAGACAATTTAAGCAATAGAAAAAAGAAAGAAGACTACCTCGTACTTCGATATTTGAGATGTCATCAAGACTCACCCATGAACATTTAGCTCTGCCCTCCTCAGCAACTAGTCAACAAGGACCCTGAATCAAATCATAAAAAAGGTTAGGGACCCTGAATCAAATCACAAAAAAGGTCACCAAAACTAACATGATACAACTTCCACGAGGAAATATCTGAAAATTTGCACTCAGTATATGATATATTTCTATCATAACTTCCAAGAAATGCAATTCCAAGTAAATACAATAAAATGAACTAACAGTTCAATAATCATACAAACCAATGATTCAGCTCCTTCATACGAGACGCATCCACAATCAAGTATGGATGAAAGTTGGAGTAAGCTAAGTAGATGCCATTCTCTGCATATAAAAGAATTCCAAAACTCATTCAAAAAGGTATAAAAGTAGTTTAACAAAACCATGTTGTTTCATTTGTTTTTCTCATTTTTCTCGAGCAACCCCAAAACTCTCTACTTTTTGTACAGAATGTCAAGCCAACGTAAAGCATAGGTGTTGGAAAATAACATACAACCAAGATTTGTTTGACATAGATGATAATGAGTAAATTGAGGTGTGGTTCGCTGACGTCCAAAGCAACCAACCTCAGACTAGCTCAACAATAATCAGGTCAAGAACCTCAACCAAAACCCAGTATACAAGGTCAACCCTTAACCAATTAATCTAGCAAGTAACCTTATTAATGAAAAAATATTAGAGCATTCAATATTCAAAACCCAACCCATCTATGTTTGGATACAATTCAGATCAGTGTTATTAAAGGCGATAGGCGCACCAATGTGCCAAGGTCTCCTGAGGGCTAGGCTCAAGGCGCAAGGCGAGGCGCAGGCTTCACCGAAGTGAGGCGTACCTTGTACGGAAAAAAAAAATATAATTTAATATAATTAAATAATTTAGTGGTCAACATAAACAAAATAAAATGTTAAACATTTAGTGTTTTTTGGAGATTAGGAATTAGGGCTAGTTTTTCTTCTATCATTGATTTTGGGTTAAATGCCCAACGTATTGGCATCTTTAATAAGAGTAAGGATCTTCTGTAGCTGCACCATATTAAATCAATAGTCAAATTTTAAACAAAACAAATTAAAGCAACAACAAAAAAAGTCCTCAAGATATAAGCCTTGGGCCAGTCAAGCGCCTTATCACAATCGCCTGGTCTGGAACACAAGAAGGCGCAAACCTTGGGCCTAGACGAGACTTGGGCATAGGCGCACGCCTAGGCGAGCCTTATCGAAGTCGCCTAGCCTGGAACACTACAAGGCGTAAACCTTGGGCCTGGATGGGACTTGGGCCTAGGTGCACACCTAGGCACGCCTTTAATAACACTGATTCAAATAACCATAAGAAATCTTTCAAAGGAAATGATAAAAGTAATTTTATTACATTAAAATTTACATATCACATTAAAATAAATAAATTTGCCAACAGAAATAACCAAAATGATGACGAAAGTGGATGGAAAAGACATGTTACCATCCCCTGAAATAACCAAAATAGGGCACAAATGACAAAAGTGGATGGAAAAGACACGTTACCACCCCTTGAATGATAATGAGCCAACTCTTTAGCCGTAGAAGAAGCCATCCTTCCAAGAACTGCATTCCTCTAAGTTAAAACATGAAACTTCTAAAAACTCATGAAATCAAGCACCAAATAAAGTGCATATACGTTCCCACCAAATTAGAATGTAGGCATCAAAGCCAAAAAAATTACCCAATAGAGATTATTCAAAGGTGAAATATTCATATGAAAATCCATACACTATCATGCAACTAAACAAAAAAAGACACTATAGTTGGATAATCAGTGTTGAGTTCCCTCCAGCATTTACCCTTGCTATCATTCTTATTTGTTATGGAAAATATCATAAAAGATATATAAAAACATAAATCATTATTGCAGCTTCTGATCCAGGAACCAAACCTATTCAAAGGCCTCTAAAAAGTCCAAAAATTGATCCAAAGATGAGTTAACCGCCCCCAAAAACCAACTATACTATACTATACGGAGACAAAACTTCTCTTCAATTTCAAAATTCATACCTCTTTGCCCTCAATAGTTATATTATTTTCTCCCCACAAAAGCCATATAATTGCCAAAGGGGCCAAACACCAAGCCTTCTTCCTCCGCCCTACACAAGCACCTCTTCAAAGGCTAAAAAGTTCCCCCAAATTCCTAGGGAACTTCCTCTTTTCCATTTAAATGTAAATATTCTACCTTTTGGGGTTTTGAAAGAGTGGCAAATCAAAAGGAGAGGTGGTTGGTTACAAACAGTTACACTGGGGTAGTTAACAATGAAGAGTGGATATTTAAATAAAATTAAAATAAATTATATGATAAGGTAAAGTACAAGCGCATCACATGTGACATCATTCTTGTTTGGTCATATTTCTTGCCTACTTTTTGCTTAAAAAAAGTAGATCAACAGCAAACTTGCAAATCCACATACTGGATGTAATCCAACTTGAGATTATTTTTGTCATGTGTACAGTATAAAACCATAGTTTGGTTTTATAAAAGCATATATTCATTAATGAAATGTATTCTAACAACAACTGAGATTATTACAAATTAACACCATTGCTTAAAAACTTGCTTTTTCTACCTCCTAAAGAAACTGAGATAGGCATTCCACCATGATTGACCAATTTTCATAGAATATATTCGAACTGCTAAAGCTAATAACATAACAACGTTGATTTGTACTGCACACCTCTAATTTCTTGCTGACAGGCTATCATCTATAGTAGTAAGCTGTCCATTGACAGTAGATGTTGCTGCAACTCATGCCCTTTTTCCTTGGATCAATGCTGAAGCCTGTCCAGTAAGCATATCATACTGAGTCTGCAGTTGCCTAAGCTGTCTCTACAATTCCAAAGTCTCAGCTTTATGTGCTAAAGTAGCATCCCTGGAGAAGAAAGTTAATGCATCAACAGAAGCAAAGAACAAGTATGCATCATCATGACTTATTTCAAAGGAAACAAGGAAGCAAAAATTTAACTCTGCATGTCAAAGGAAATTTACAGGCATTGAATTGAGTGGTGAGAAAAATCATACGCCGTATTGAACAGGGTACAAACCTTACCATTAGCATTATTCACACAAATGCCGGCCCTTAAACTCAAACTTGAATCATTATGTTGGCAGGCCACTTAACTGGTTGGAGGCCAATTATCAAATTTGGAAGCCTAGGGTGAAGCCCGTGGACCCGAAGTCTTTTTGGTCCCATAAATGTAATAGGTTGTTTTTCTTTTAATTATTATTATTATTATTATTTAATTAAAAAAAAATTAGTAAGAGATATTAGTTGAATAGGTTTCCTGCTTTGATTAAGTTTCTTTTTGCTTACAACTATTAGGATTTACATTGTAGTATTCAGTTTTTGAATAATATTATTGATAGTTTTCGGCTGTGGCCGTTCTCGAGTTGTCCTCCCTCTCTTCTCCTATCTCGTTCTACATCAATGAGCTCATTGCAACAACCAATGCTGCCCTCTCTTGACAAAGCTTAGTAAAACAATTTTCAAAATCCATATAACCATACAAAAAATAAAGAGACAGAGTGGAGTATACTAAAGAGAAAAGAATAAGCCTAAATTGATTCCATGAAGTTCTTGTTGGAAAGCTTCATCTGCATTGTTGGGCCCCTTTCCTGAATACTTGCACTCCATTTGGATTGTGAGGAGAGGTGAGAAAAAAAATGATTATGGTTTCTCACCATTATGTTTGGATGAATAAAAGAGAAGATAATGTCACCTATCTTGCTTGGATGGAATAAATAAAAGAAAAGAAAGGAAAGTGTTTTATTTCATTTTACCAAAATAATCTTCCATATTAATAACCTATGTTTGTTCATAAGAGTAATTTTGGTATTTTAGAAAACTTTCATTAAATCCAATTCTTTTCTCACCATCTCTCATCATTTCTCACCATTTTCCACCTACTTAACCCTCCAAACAAGTGAAGGGTTTTTCTATTCTCCCCAAACTCCTCCATCCAAACAAAGTGTTAAGCTTCTAGGACTGGTGGTGATCTAATATGGTGTCAAAGCTTAACTTAGGAGAGGTCTTGGGTTCAAGGCTCCCCATTTGCATTATGTTTCTTCACTTGCTTGGACGTTTGCATCTCCAAGTGCAAGATAGGATTACACATGACAGAGGGTGTTGAAGAACTTTATATGTATCATTCGGTCCTTTCCTAAGAGCTTAAACTTTTCGGGGTAGTGGTGATCTAATATTTCTTGCTCCTAAACCACTGTTTAACTCGGTTGTGTTGTGAAAATATTTGTACGCATTCTAGCAAAATGTTAAAAAGTACTAAATGCCAGCGTAACACAACATCATGAGCTAAAAGTACTCATTTAGAGGCACAAATGCTACTCCGAAAACAAAGGTTACATTAAAAAGTTAAGAACCATTTTCTGCCAAAATTTAACTTAAATATACTTCCAAATAAACAATCATATTACTATACCCACCCAAGCAATAGTCCAGTAACAAAAGTTTGAAAAATATGAAGCAACAAACACAAACTTCCCACATAAAAACAACTCTGACATTATCAAAATAAGCTGTAGAATAAATTAATTAATCACCATCTACTACTGATAGAAAAAGTCGTCAAATAAACACAAGAAAAAACAAAAATGTCGAGTTCGCAAATATGTGAAAAAAAAGCTGTACAAAAAACTGCCTCCTGGTTGTCTCTCCTAGTTGAAAAGGTAGATATGCTATCATAAGCAAAATCTAAGTCTTCCCCCTGTTAAGTCATCACATCATATGCACATGTAATAAGTGAATTTAATCCAATGTAGTTGGAGAAAATGCAGCCAAATGGACATCAATAAATGTTCGATGCAAGTATTCATAGACAAAAAATTTCACTCTTAATTTATCTAAACAGAAAAAGGCAAACAAAGGGCACAAAAAGGTACACAAAAAGTTCACAAAGCAACGAGGTTTCGAGAGAGAGCCTGGTATGGTGACCCCAATATATGTTGTGTACCACCAAACTCCCACTACTTGGCCTCCTGAAAGACTGACCAGTGTCAATATCTTTTTACTATGAATAGAAAAGCAATAGAGATAAGTAACCATGGAAAAAGAATAGTCTAATTCTATTGTCCTTGATACTTCACATTTTCATAGGCCCCATGAGGAAGTTTTCATCCAGCAGATAGAACTTCATAAAGAAACATGAAAGAAGTAAAAAGCATTCATCAATCCATAGAATACAATTCAGAAGAACACAAAAGATGTTGATACCTCCAATAGCTGCCCTTCTCGTATATATTGCTCACACCTAGCAAATGCAAGATAGTTATTAACAAGGGAAACACTGACTTCTTGTTGATAATATAAATAATAGTTATCCCTCTCCCTAACAGTTTAAACTTTAGATGAGAACGGTTAACAATTTAATGTGGTATCAAAGCATACAACAGATAATTTTTTCAAACCGCAACCTATTAAATACCAATAAACCTTCATAAAAAATTTGAATTCTGATCTTTACAGTGTAGACAGCAAGTCAACCATGGAGACAGAAATTTCACAGATGACATGACCTTACTAGAGAGAGAGACAGACAGACAGACAGAGACAGACAGAGACAGAGGACATGACCTTAGCATAGTGTTCTTACTTCTTAGCAAACCAGTCAACGAAGAGAAAGTTTAGTATGGCTCAGTACATCTTGCTCCTAATCCCTTTCCTTTTCATTTTCACAAAATTTTGCGTGATTTGAATAAAAAAACATATGAATCAGCCAAGCACTAAATATACATGTCCCAAAAAATCAAGATTCAAAATACATGAGTTATTTGATTTGATTTCAACAATTCTATGTTAAGGCTTATGCTCCATTTGAGGGGTTTTTTTTTTTTTTTTTACCCTCTCATTTTTTGGGTGACATTTTAAGGAAATAATGTACCTAAAAACACCAAGAATTGGAAGTCCCTTCTGCATAGCAAGACTTCTCTTCATGAGCAGGACCGCTCTAGCACCATCACTCACCTGGGTAGCATTCCCTAGAAAATGCAGCAGTGATAATTCAGGTCAAAGTTCAAATTTATGGCATCAAACATATAGCGATCCGGTCTTTTCCCTTTAGATTATTGTATCCGGACTTAGGTTCCGTGGATCCTGTCATTATATATATTGGTTGTTGTTGTCCTTTAATCTCTTTGTATTTGAGTTATAGGATGTGTTGGGCGGGTCTGTTACAGGTCGGTTGAGTTTAGATGCCAAAACTAGTTGCCCAGATTTTGACCTGTCCGCTCAAGCGGGGGTTCTGGTGCTCGAGCGGGATTATCACCCATCCAGTATTTCCTGTGCAGTGTTGGACGCTCGAGTGTGGGATTGGACGCTCGAGCGGAAGTGTGTGAGTGCCGCTCGATCGGGGAGTTAGACGCTCGAGCAGGGAGTTAGATGCTCGAGCGGGGACCTGGTTCTGCAAAAGTACTGGGAGTGCGTATTCGACGCTCGAGCGGGAGTTTGGACGCTCGAGCGGAGAGTCGACAACATCAGTCCGAGATTTCACTTTTTGGATCACTTTTTGACCTACTTCTTTTCTCTTAACTCTTAAAAACCGCCACTTGAGAGTTTCTCTCTCTACTCTTACCTTCTCTCTAAGATTTGATCTATTTCTTGTAGTCTTCTACCCTAGTCCCTTTGGAAGAAAGGTAGAGCTTCGCGAGAGCTTTCTTTTAATTTGAAAAAGAGAGGATTTGGAGCACTTTGGAGTTTGGGTCATTATCTCCATCTTCTCCATTCGGGTTATTTTCTTCGAGGTAGGGATTTCCTACTCCATCCTATAAGTTTT